AAAAAAAGTCACTGCAACAAAAAGCTAGTTTTTTGAAAGGATCAATGGAACCGACAGACCGCTGGCAGACCTAACCGAGGGAAGGAAGGAGCACACAGTAATAGCCAGGATGAGGGATGAAACCAGGGAACTCACAATGGACCCTCAGATTAAAAGGATAATCACAAAGTACTACAAAAGTCTGTATTCTAACAAATTCAACAATGTGGAAGACATGGACAAATACTTGGAAAGAACAATCCCTCCCCAGATTATCCCAGACAGAGGTCAAGAACCTCAACAGACCCATAGCAGAAGAAGAAATAGATATGGTTATCAAGAAACAACCAACGGAAAATGACCAGATGGCTTCACAGGAGAATTCTACCAACCATCCAGGAAGGAGCTGATACTGATCCTCCACAAATTATTCCAGAGCAGAGCAAAAGATGGAAACCTCCCAAACTCATTCTATGAAGCCAGTATAACTTTGATACTCAAACAGTGCAAGGATCCCACAGGAAGAGAGAACTACAGACCAATGTCTTTAATGAACACAGATGCAAAAATCCTTAACAAAATATTGGCCACTAGAATACGAAAGTATATAAAACGTCATCCATCGTGATCAGATGGGATTCATTCCAGGGATTAAGGATGGTTCAACATCCGAAAATCCATCATGATGTCCCCTCACTGGAGCATACCACGACAGAGGACAATACTGGGGACCCAGGGCTGGGGATTGAGTCCGGTCTGACACCCCCCACAGTGGGGCGAACCTAGAAGGGAACATAACAGATCAGCAACGGGAGCAAAATAAAGCCACAGAGCCCTTGAGGAGCCCCCCAAATAGACTTCAGGCTAGGAGGGGCAGTTCCCAGAACCCGCCAGGACCAGTGGTGAGATAGTCATGAAGGTCAACGGACAGACCTGGAATGATGTATGCATTTTCATTTTTTCTCTTTTCATTCAATCTTTTGTTTGGTCTCTGTAATTGTTGTTTTGCCAACTTATATATGATAGGCAAG